CTACTGCAGTGTCCCTCCATTCTTATGTTCTTTGTTCCTTCTTAAGACAATGGATTCCACTTTCATAAGAGAACTAGGATATGTCAGAAGCATGCACAGACATGCACAGTTTTCAAGACACTGGAGATTGACTACAGGATGGTTTATGATCAACTACTATTACTGTATTTAGGAGGAGGGGGAAAGCACTAAACCCATAGGGGTGTCACACACCACCTGGGGAAATGGAAGACAGCCAGGTTGAATTGAAGTACATTATTATTATTATAATCAAAAAGAAGCGCTAAGCCACAAGGACTATACAGTGGAACAAGTACAGATCCTTGGTAAATGATACTTTATTTCTACAAAGAATGGTTCACTTTGGATCCACAAGAAGTGACATTATCATCATCATGGGGGAGTGTGAAACCCAGAGATTATAATGCCTGTGGAAAGGATAAGGGGGGGGGGGGGATTATGGAAGGCATTCAGACTCAATTCAGGGAACCGAGCACATATCCAATTCCCTTAATTAAGAGCCCCTCACCAGCATCAAGGAACCTCCCTTGAGGGGAACATTATTTACAATTTTATAGAAAAACTCAGTTTATGTAGAGGATTTTGGGAAGTATTAAAATAATATTTTTATCTACCAATATAACCAGCATGAGGGAACCTTCCTTGAGAACATTACGATCAGCAGCACTTTTCTTACAACCTACAACCACTAAGTCACACACATGCATTAGTTAGTATTTGTTCTCAAAAAGTTTTGCCTACATAATGGGCTCCTTCACACAAATATGGAGGCAGTGATGATGCAATATTGTCTCTGCAATTCTGTTGCCTTGTATGTACATACTAGAATGAAGTCTATTGTGTAAACAAAATGTTCCTAAATGAAGATACCTAACTGTGCATGTGTTGCACTTATCTGCTGGCAGTTGTAGGTCAAATCAGAGAGTAGGTGGGGGAAGTTGAACCCATGGCAAGTCTTAAAACTCGCAAGCCAGTCACAGCCTGTAGGTCAACTGATCCATGATTTGCATGGCTTGAGAAAACCGCTAAGTTGATAAACGAGAGACTTAGGCAACATTTGGGTATTTGTATTGTGGAAACATTTTGCCGGCCAGTGGCTTCCTCAGTCCAATACAGAGAAAAGTAAGAGTAGTTTTAGGTAATAATTTTTAGGTCCCTCAAGCCTGGACTCCAGGCTGAGAGACTGATTACCTCATAATACTTTCACGGTTCTTCTCTTTCGGACAGAGGAAGGAACCGACTGGCAAAATGTTCTCACAATACCTGTGGCTTGGAGATGATCCAGATTGGACCAAGTATTACACAACACTGGTTGATCAGGCGCTGATCCACCAGGAGGCCTGGTCACAGACCGGGCCGCGGGGGCGTTGACCCCCGAAACTCTCTCCAGGTAAACACTCATTCATCAACAGGATCCATATCCTGAGTTTTATTTCTCATCAACTTAAAGTATTCGTGTCTGGTGGTGAATTATAATAATCAAAACTAAGCACTAAACCCACTAGGGGTCACACAATCAGTTGAAAAGGTTTACCTTACAGCCATGATATTAAGGCCCTATTATTATTATAATCAAAAAGAAATTAAGGCCCTAGTGTAGTAGTAGTATTATAATCAAAAAGCACTAAACCACAAGGGTGTAATAGTAATAGTATTATTACAATCATAACTAAGCACTAAACCCACAAGGGTCCCCATGTAGTAGATAGGCTTTAGACTGCCTGAATCAACCACTTAACCAATATGCTCTGAAGTGCATTGGCAATGGTCAGAAATCGCCTCTAACCGAGAATAAACTCCCAGAACCAGTCTCGTCTGGGGTTTTCCAGATCAACTAGGCTGTTGCTACTGGTGAGTCCACTGTCCCATAACCTGGTTGAACCGGCATTTGTAAAGGCACTTGTCCCAGCAGTTTCAAATATATTTTGGAAAGATAACGAATAGTGGGGGGGGGGGGGGGATGGGCGTCACGAACATTGATAGTGTTCCCTTATTGTGCCCACTGTAGCAAAGTTCCTTTAATAGTCGATATGGCAAGTTTTAGGAATAGTCGTGCCAGTAATATCAGCCTAGTCAAATATGGGTCAAAGTTGTCAGGTAGATGGTGTCACTCCTCAGTCTGGTTTGTGACGAGAATTCCAAATGTAAATAGGACCTGCTTGGCACAGGCCAGTAGGCCTGAGTTTTTCTCACAGGACCCAAGTATGGAGAAAAGTAAGCAGGCCTACAGCAGTTCCTTCTGTTTAGACCTTAAAAGGCGAGACAAACTTGTGCATCATTTGGGTAACTATTCTGGAAAAGGTTTGCCAGCCAGTGGCTTCATTCAGACTAATACAGGGGAGAGATGAATAGTAGTTTGAGGTAATCTGTCCCCGGCCTGAGTAGGTGTTCAATACATCCTCCTTGGATACGTCAATTTTGACAACTAAAGACACCAGGCTGAATGACTGATCACCTCAAACTACACCAATCTTCACTAGAATGGCTTGAAAGCTCTCGAGTGGCAGTTTTCACATTATTATAATCAAAAAGAAGCGCTAAGCCACAAGGACTATACAGAGCAGTTTTCACAATATATTCCCACATGCCTGTTAGAAAATCTTGCCAGGAGCCTAGTCAATGTTACTGGATTCCTGTAGGAAGCACAGAATCAGGAAATCATACATCACTTAGGGATGGGGTTTAGTTGAAATATTAAAGCCTGATTTAACTGGGACACTTATTTAATTCTTTGGATCAACAGTCCCTCTCCAGCATCATGGTTAAAGCACAGGTATCAAAGTGATTATTCATGGGGGAGCATTAAACCCATAGGGGTCATACAATGCCTTGGGGAATGGGATTCATCTAATTCAAGGAAATTTGTTCTAATTCCTTTGATCACGAGCACATCACCATCAAAGATCCTTCTTAGAGGAAGTAAGAAAGGTTCATGAAATCTTTACCTCTTTATACAGCCAGTCAGAACTGGGTGATCAGAAGCACCCTCTAGAATACAGCCAGTCAGAAGCTTGCCATAGGTTCAAGTCTCTACATCATTGAAATCTGAAGGCTCAAACCGAGATCAAGAGCCTCAAGATCCCTCCTCAGATTCATCAACCTCAATCAAGAACCCTCACTAGCAACAATGTAGAGGCAGCGAATATTTAGTGACGAGTAATGAACCCCTAGTGGTCAATGCCTGGGTTACTCTCTCTCTCACACAGTCAACTGACAGAACAAGACTCCCCATACTCTACAATCACACTAAGTAACCATTAAATATCACATTATCAGAGGCAGAAACACCTAGAGGTACTTGAGGATTGATCAACATTGTCTGAATTTCTGTTGAATGACAAACCCACATACAACTGGATCCCATCCAAAAGGTAAGCGCTAAATCCATAAGGGTCATACAGCACTTCAGATGAATATGGGTTAAGGTGAAGATTGAGTGGGGTCAAAATAATGCGTTTAAGTTAAATTATATGGTTGCAACAGTTAAAATATAATGGTGGGATTTTCATTAAGTGCACTTTGTGGCAGTGTAGATGTTAGAATCCAGTCTACCAACTAAGACAAGGCATTGTATTAGGGTTATTGAAATTAAGATTAAGCACTAAACCCTCAAGGGTTATAGTGCTGCTCTATTAAGACAAGGCATCAAGATATGCACGGTATACACATCAATGAAGAACCATACCAATTAATTTTTGGCAAGGTATCAAGGCTGCCCAGCAAAACTGGAATGGTAATCAATGTATTAGGGTAAGTCATAAAAATCTGAACTGTCAGTGCTAGCTTACTGCAGGACCCACATAACATCCATGGATATGGCAACACCCACTCACATTACACAAATAACCCACACAGTGAAGCTTATGAAGTTTCAGTCAACTTGGACAATTCACAAAGTCAAATTAACACAAGAGATGGAGCCTGTATATAAATGCTACCTATGTATTATTCCAGTCACAGTATACACTTGAAGAGTTTCGAGTTTAAATACTCTCCGAGTCCGGCCATGGGCCTTTGTTCTTTATCAGCACGTTAAACATTTTGCTCCTAGGGCCCTAAAACATCCCAGGACCATGTTTGCTAGTGTCTGTAAACCAGTTATCAAGGTTTATACCACCCGTAGTATACAATTGTGCGGTGGCACATTACCATACTCTTGTACAAGGTGGTAAACCGTGTGTATAATTGTAAACTTGTAATACCAGCCACCACTCAGAATATTCCAAATCAATGTTAAATTAGATGCAAATACTTGGGTTTTCAATCGAGCAACCTAACTTTCCTTGCATCGAACTGCTCAAACTACTAAAAGAATCTACCCTTGGCACAAACTTACAAAATTGAGTTTTAATTTCAGACATGGGCCATGGGAATTGCAAGGCATTTTCTAAACTTCGGCAAAAATAACAGGAAATGCTTACATATGAACACTCCCAAGTTGCAAAAATAATTACACATTTAGGGAGGTATTAGAAGAAAACTCAAAAATATAATCCACTTAAATATAATTTGATTAAAAAAATAATTTGGTAAAAAAATATCACAGGTCGGAGTTAGGCTTGAGAGAGCAAGCACTGAGTTCATTTTTGGTATCATCTTGGGTAGACAGCAAACCTGGGGAGACAATGTCTTTATTAGTTCCCAACTTGTGTCAAGTCAACATTAACATTAAATCAACAACGTACTGTACGTTAAATCTTTTTATAAACATTGTAATATGAACAAATAGCAATTAATTGCAAAAAAAGCTTATGTGCACTCACACTAAGCGTGACCTAGCACAGCAGCAATACTACAGTTGTGCTAACCACTCAAAATTTTTTAACTGTGTACCCAAACCCTATTAAAATACATTACTGCCTACACCACAAAAGCAGAGAGTGACCTACCTGATGGTTAGCACCTAGACAGTTTCCTACGACCTCACTGCCTAGATTGCATCTCCACCTCACACATTATCAGGATGTCAGAATACACCATTCTTAGGATTAATTTATTTGTAAAATGAAATACATTGCTGGACATATTACAAAGAACTGTCTATGCTTTGGTTCAATTCAGTAGATTTGTCATAATTTTACACTACACATTATCCTATATATATAAAATTCAAGCACAAAATATTTTTCTTCAAAAAAGTTCATGTTTCCTAGTACAGGAAGCAAGTAGCTAGTCCATGCGCCGAATGGAATGTTTTTCTTGCACTGGCTCTTGGGTGTCGAGGAGCCTGGCTCTCTCTGACCCTAGCTCTGCTTGCTGCCTGCCTCAGTCCTAGCATATCTGACTGTCTGGGGTCCTGACTCAAGCCCTGCCTGTCTGCCTGCCTGCATGGCTAACCTGCTATGTACCTAGTGTGTGGTGAAAAATCGTGAATTAGTCAACTTGAATGATCAGCAAGGTTAGTAAAAAATATAATTGCACTCAAAATTCATGAAGAAATAACATATTTCATTTTTTTTTTAAACAAACCCTCAAACAGTGCAAAACTTTGTGAAAAATAGAAATGGAAGCACATTCTTACCCGAAGTCCAATACTGTCTAATACCGTCTGTTTGGTCCCTGGTTCATGCCGACAGCACCGCCGCCACCTCCACCACCACTGCCGCCGCCATAGTTGTTGGGTCCACTGTTACCTGAATTATTGTAGCCACTCGTTAGCGGTCGTCGTTGAGGCAAACCATGACTGAATTACCTTAACTACCTCCAACACTCAACTAGTGCGATGATTTGCGAACTGAGCGGGATTCATCCCAAATTTTAATGTCTTCAGATGAATAGCCTGGGTTTTGAGTTACACAAATAAAAATCAGCATAGGTATATTTCAGTAAACTTACTAACCTGCACTGTATGGGGTTGTGCGGTTGGTCTGGCCATAACCCTGGTTCCTCATTGGTCCACCTCCATAACTCTGGCCATAATTGTTGCCAAAGTCACTGGGCCCCTGGCCCCAGTTGTTTGGAGTGCCACCGTAGTTACTGGCCTGTGGGTTCCACCCTTGACTATTTTGATTGTTCCAGCCCTGGTTGTTAGGTGGTCCACCTTGCCATGGACCCTGGTTGCCATAACCACCTTGGTTGTAGCCGCCTGGTCCTCCCTGGTTGGGCGTTCCGTAGTTCCCTTGGTTACCCCAGCCACTCCGGTTATCTGAAGATTTCCCTAATTTCATGTACGTGTAATAGTATACTTCATATATAAGCCACCATTAAAAATAACCTAATCTAAATTGTTTCACTAAACACTTACCTTGCCAACCACCACCTTGATTGCTCCCCCAGCTGTCATTCCTGTTACCAGCCCATGGGCCATTATTACCACCACCACCACCTCCACCACCACCTCGTCCCATACCTCCCATTCCTCCCATGCGACCACGTTGCTGCATCTGAATTTCATTTTTGCTCAGTGCCTTCTTTACATCCACACGTTTTCCCTTCATCTGGATATTCTTGTGTACTGAAAAATAATAAATGTATATACTACATGCATCTTAATTTAGGAGAAAACTTTAAACCAACATGTATGTATATAGCAATTTACAAGAAAACTGAAAATTAGACTGGTGAAAAAATTTGCCAATTTGGTTAAGCCTACTGTAAACTTCAATTACAGTATTTAAGTTTGCAAAATGAAATTTTGACATTCCAAAATCTTGGGTATTTTTTACAGTGCTTACAAATTACGGCAGGGCCCTGCTTCACCGTGTTCCAATAATACGGCGATTTCAAAATACAATCGCTCCATACGGCTCCCGGCCTAATACGGTGTGCGCCACCCAGTTTGTTTAAATTCTCCAAGCATATATTTTATGTTAGGAAACTTTCCAAAATTTCAAGCGTTTTAAAGTTAGTGTATTTTATATGTACTCTTGATAATTATACTTGTGTGTACCTGTACCTAAATGACTTCCTACAAATAAATACTAATCACCTATCACCCTACATTAAGACTACACATCTGAAGGTAAATAACGAGTGTACTGTATGTGTACTTTATCTTTCTGGGCAGCTTTAAATATCATGTATTAAGTATGAGACAGGAAGCAAGGGAAACCTACACCTGACTTTCCACAAATAATTACTACTACTAACCTCTACCCCTACATTAAGACTACAAACATTTTAAGTTAGGTAATGAATGTACTGTATGTATTTTACCTCGTTTTTAATGCCTAGTTCTATTACCTACTTTTGTGTAAACTTGTCTGGCATTTTTAAGTGGAAAAAATGGCACACTGCTTTCTGGCAATAGCCTGGAACCTAACCTGCCACACAAGTGTGGCCCTACTGCACTAGCAAACTGACTCAAGTTGGTCTAGTTTATGCTAGCCTATCTACCACTAGTTATCATACTTCTAGACCTAGGTTGAAGAGGAAATACTGCAGAACAAATTTATTAAGCACAAAGAAAACTAACAAATACTGAATGCAGAGTTTGTACAGTTTGCATTTTCTAAATCTCGAACATTTAAAATTCTGGAGGGGAGAAAAAAAAAAAAAATCAGGAGAGAGAAAATCAGAAATCCTGTCGGGGAGCAAATAAATTAAGATTTCCATTTCAAAGTTACAAGAAAAAAGAAAACTGCCTACCAACACTGTACTTGTGGAGGCTTCCACTTGAACAATAAATTTAACTTCCGACTCACGAAATAGCATGATTGCAAGCAAACCCCAGAACAGGTTGGGTTTGAACCCATGACAAAATTGTCAAAACTCCAGGCCAGTGCACGAGTCACTGGGCAAGCTGACTACAGTAAGATGCATCAAAATAGGTATATTTATAAACCATTGAAAGGTTAGCACAGGTCCAACTGTGACATTCAATTTTATGATTTGCTCACCATGGTTTCAAACCCCACTCATTCCATGGTTAATTTAACTTACCGCAAAACACCAGTGGAAAGTGGAGAGTACTGCAAACATTGGCATTGTGGCCAGTTTCAAGACTTTTCAACTTAGGAGGCTAGAATGCCCTCGTCTGACAACTAAGACCAGATATAGATACCAATTGAAGTTGAATTAATGACAATGTTCCATATTAGTTGTTCCTATTCGCCTAGCAATAAATAGGTACCAGAATACATGTATATAGTTGTGGCTTAACAACCCAGGGAAGATTTTACTAGTATATTTCAGATTAGGCAAGGATTGAAGTAACCCAGGGCAGTATACCACAACGTGAGGCTTAGAAACAAGCCAAATTAAGGCAGTTATAATTAAACTACGTACATAAAAGAAAATTCAACATTATTGGAGTAGACTCCATATCTGAAAAACTCACCAAAGCTAAGAAGTTTAGCGAGGGGAGATTTTCCTATTTTCTGTTCCAGACACTAACTGGGGTACCTGTTCCAGACAGGTCAAAATGCAACACTATACAGTAACTATTCACCAAGTAGCAATAGAACTCAAGCATTTTGTAGTTAGTGGTTGGTACTTTTTTTTTTAACACTTCAGCTATTTCCCACTGAGGCAGGGCGGGAGAAAAAAAAAAAACTCACCATTCAACACTTTTACCATCAGTCATACATAATCGGTCTTTGCAGAGGTGCTCAGATATGACAGCCAATATCCTAAAACCTTCCTTTAAAATGCAGGCATTGTACTTCCCATTTCCAGGATTCAAGCCTGACTAATTAGTTTCCCTGAATACCTTCACAAAATATTACCCTGTTCATACCAACAGATTAGTTAGCTAGTAGCAATAAATAAAAGTTTAACATTAAGAGCAATTTAACTCAATCTTATAAACATATGCTCCCAACATATAAAATTCCAATTTTCATACCATTAATGGCAAGTTTAATTAAAAATACTGTTAACTGCCACTAGTAATACGAAGTCACTAATTTTAAAATAGCAATGGTCTGAAGCAGTGGTGTCAGGTACTGGCTCACACTGCTTCACAATATTACAAGTATTTGAAGATATTCAAATTACTTTCCCACACTCATATTAATCAAAACTAAGCACTAAACCCACAAGGGCCATATAATCATACTTATATAACTCCACTGAGGTACCAGAAAGCAATATACTCACAACAAGCTTTGTCAACAGCATCATAATCTTCAAACTCCACAAAAGCAAAGCCTCTCTTCTTTTGTGATTCCTTTTCTGTGGGGATACTAACTGAAACCACTTCTCCAAACTGACTGAACGTCTCACGAAGGTCCTGCGAAATGGTCTGGTTTTAATCAACAAATTCAAAATTTTAACTGGATATATGTCACTGTTATTCTGAACACAGCCGCTACAAACCAAGCACAACTTACATCATCGTCTACATCATCCTTAATACCACCGACGAACAATTTCTTGACTGTTACACCAGATTCAGGCTTTCCTATCTCATCCCGGGGAACAGCACGCTTTGTGTCCACCGAACGACCATCAATCTGAAAAATAAATGGCTTTTAATATTTACTTCATTTTTTTTTAAAACTCACTGGCCATTTTCCAAGGTAGGGAGACTTGAAAAAAAAAAACTTTCACCATCATTCCCTCCACTGTCTTGCTGGAGATGTGCCAATACTACAAACATACCACAGGCGGGATTTGAACCCGCAGTCAGTCTCAAAACTCCAGACCTTCGCGTTAGCCACTGGACCAGCTAGCCACAATAAGATTCGTCCAACTAGGTATATTTCATGAGTCATGCCAATACTACAGTTCAGTCAAGGAAGGGTAGACAAAATGCAGTCAGTCAGTCAAAGACATAGCCAGTCAGGGAAATGCAGACGACTACTGCACACGGCTTCAATTACTAACTAAAACATTCAATATAATTTGCAGTCAAATTTTTAAGGGTTGATGTACAGGTCTCCCTCAACATTCACGTTTTCAGCCGCCAAATCATATTCAAGTTTCCCGCCACCTGCGAGTCCCTACTACCCTCCCTCCGACCCCCACAACTGGCAGCCAGCCCTCCCACCACTCAGTGTGGTGAGTGTTTTGTTTGTTCATTATTTGCTATTAAACTACATTATAAATAATGTGAAAACATTCATGACTGCATATTGGAATGGCTATTTGGACAGGTATTGGACGGTGACATCACGTGTTTACTCTTGAACACAGCAAAGAATCAAACATTTCTGCTACTGCTAATAATAACAATAGTAATAAACAAATAATAATAATAATAATAATAATAATATAATTAAAATAATGAAAAAATAAATGATACATATACTGATATAGTCTCCCTGCTCTTCCAAACATTTCACAATAATTCATTGTTTGGTGCTTGTAGATTGAGTGTGACTGGAGTGGTTGAGGCAGTGGTGGGGTAGGCAGTGATATTTACTAACATATATGTTATAAATAATAATAGTACATTATGAATAACATTATTATTATTATAAATGTTATTAATATTAACATGTACTATTATTATTTATAACATACGTATATGTTAGTAAATACTATCCACTGCCTCAACCACTCCAGTCACACTCAATCTACAAGCACCAAACAATGAATTATTGTGAAATGTTTGGAAGAGCAGGGAGACTAATGTTCACTCCAGCTTAAACAAAGCCACACTGACATTGTGTCAACCACTCCCTCGTATTTTTGTACAATTTCCTTCTTCAATTATATCGTATTATTATTATTACTACTGTTATTATTAGCAGTAGCAGAAATATTTGATTCTTTGCTGTGTTCAAGAGTAAACACATGATGTCACCGTCCAATACCTGTTCAAGTAGCCATTCCAATATGCAGTCATGAATGTGTTTACATTATTTATACTGTAGTTTAATAGCAAATAATGAACAAACAAAGCACTCGCCACACTGAGTGGTGGGAGGGCTGGCTGCCAGTTACGGGGGTCGGAGGGAGGGTAGTAGGGACTCGCAGTGGTGGAGTCTGTGGTATTTAATAACATACATGTTATTAAAGCATAACATGTATATATTTAGTACAACTTACGACGTTTTCATGTATTTTATGATTGTTCATGGTTCAACAAGTTAAGCAGTATTGTATTATATTTCCCTACAATATATTGGGGCACCAAACATTCACGGTTTTTCAACATTCGCGAGGCTCTTGATCCCCTAACCCTCGCGAATGTTGAGGGACACCTGTACTCTTACAACTAAAATTCATAATTCACTGAACAGTTTTTGCCACTTTCTAAATCTAAATTTAGAAAAAAGTGCCAAACCCACAAACTGAATAACTTGAGAGAGAATATCCAATTTCAAACTTCCATCCTTAGTAAAAAGGATTTATCAAGCTTTGTATTTACTAAATGAAACACCTATTTTATTTCTATGGCACTTTTGATTAGGTTATGGAATAAAATTTGTGGATTTTTTATTTTAACCCAGGGAGGGTTAGATGGGATCCTTCAGTCTCTTCCCCCCAGGATGCCACCCACACCAGGCAACTAATACCCAGGTACCAACTTACTGCTAGGTGCCTATTTGGTCTCAAGTTCAGTTAATTTGAAATTAAACCACCCAACTTGCCAAAAACCCTTTGTATTAAATGTGTAATTTATCCTAAATTACTGAAAGTTATCCCATAAGTAACCCTGAGGTTAACTGAAGAGATATTTTAACAATGGAAGTTTTCCGTGAATGGGTAACCCTCGTGTTAACTGCCATGTTGTATATTATCCTATCGTGAAATACATCCTGGAAGTAATCTTGTATTAAGTGATATGCTGTATATTACCTAAGGTAGGGAAGTTATCCAGGAAAATTTCTCCAACAAGCAAACTTGGTATGAAGTGACATGTTGTATTTTATCTTTAGGTCAAGTTAAGCAGTATGAACAATAACTTACTTTGTGAGGTCTGTTCTTCTGTGCTTCATCAACCATGTATGCCTGGGAAAATGCCACAAAGCCAAAGCCTCTCGACCTTTTTGTCTTGGGGTCCTTCATGACAACAACATCAACGATCTCGCCATACTGCTCAAAGTATGCCTTCAAGCTGTCGTCGGTGGTTCGGTAGTCCAGTCCACCGATGAACAGCTTTCGCATCTGCTCCGGTTCAGAATGCTCCTACGGGCAGGGGGAAAAAACTTTTGAAATACAATCACATTTGTATGATGCTAATGTGTAAAAAGTATATTCAATCCACATGACACTCCACTGTTACTGTCCAAAGTTTAGTAGTAATTACAATTTAGTTTAACCCAAACCATTACAGTGAACATTAGTTAATTGAACAGCTACAGTTCAACAATTATCAATTTAAAATTATTAAACACCTCCTATGTAAACCATTTCTAATGCAACGATCTTTGACCGAACATTTTCAAAATCTACCAAGGTCACTATCGAGATTTTGTCCAGGTTTTAATAGTCATTAAAACCCAAACTAAATTTGCTAAGTCTGTAATTACAAATTCAATATTACAAAACAGCAGTTTTAAATGTCACTACAAAAAATATTTAAGTTTACATAAATTAGTGGTAATGCTTTACTAGGTTTATATAGATACCAACAATATAACCACAATTTCCACAGAAAATAACCATACAAAGGTTTCTACCCATGGGTACACCGTTGCTTACCAACACCACAAGTATGAACGTTAAACATCCTAAACCACTTAAACACAAGTCTAGAGCTATGACAAGCCGATGACTTACTCTGAGCCATGCCAGGCTAACATGATTCGACTAGATATATAACAAGGCACTAGGAAGATTAGCAGAGGCCACACCGACCATGAATTAAAGTTTTCCCAGACTTATCCCACCAGCACAGACTACACAGGATATTCCCAAGACAACTTCTCATTTACAACACATTTCATCACATTTAATGCATGACCTGAGGTTATTGCACCAGTGGCAGATCTGCCCTGGCAAGTTTTAATTCCACATTTGTAATGCAAAATGTGGTTTTGTTGTTTTATACAAGTCACTAATAATGCTTTCTCAACTTAAGCACTAAGCTAGCACTTTATAAATAGGCAGAATTAGGTGTCAGTCCTGTTGTACTACGGCTTTGAAGCCAGGGTCCGTCTTGTTGTTCTACGCCAGGAGCTCAGCTCACTTAGATAGGCTGTGAGCAGTAAATCAGTTTAGGTAACAGAATGGGTCTATGCAGTTAAGTCTGCACCATATAAAAATCCTGCAGCACACAGAATGAGAAAACACTGACTGTGGTTTTGGTTTAAATAGGCAACTGTGGTGCATTTTCATATGGCTTTTATGGTCGTATTCTTGGTCTCGTTTGACAAAATGGAAGATATATTAGAGAAACAGAGTGATTATGATTGTTTTGAGGACTGAAAGTAGCTTGAAATTGAGCTCAAAGCAGCAAAATTTTTTGATTTTTTTCCCCAATAATCGAGTACACAAATACACATCCAACTGGCCAGTCTAATATGCATTTAGGCATGCACTGACATTACTTACACAATTATTACAATATTGCAGTAGTCTGCAAAGCCGTAAATCAAAATGGAATGCAAGTGCAATATAAGAGGGGCCTGGAGGCACTTTAAATTTGTAGTTTTTGAACTGTGAAACTGGACAAATTACCAAGTCGGACCGAAATGTCGTCGTAAGCTCCTCTCTTCTACGTGTGGGTTATTTGTGTATAATTATTGGGTAGCCGAAATGGGTAAATGGGCAGCTTCTTGCACTCAATAGATACAACAGGAATAATCCTAGCAAAATAACAGGTTAGTTGACTGGAAACAATGGAATTGGCCAAAAATAAGGCACAAAGTGGGTGAAATCGCTGTGTGAATATTGCCAAGATCACTCTGAGAGCATAATTCCACAAGTTCTATCAAATTTCATACTTTTGGTTTCATTACCTTCAGAAATTTTTTCATAAGCTAAAAAATTTTTTTTTTTAAATTCAACCCTGTGAGCAAGTTTGAGATCACGAGTCTCGACCCTGAAAGGGTTAATCATTATTATAATAAAGGGGAAGCACTAAACCTGAAGGATTATACAGCACCTAAGGGGAGATGTGGAAGGCATTCAGGTTTAATTCAGGCAACTGGAGTAGATTCAATTCCCCTTTTCAAGAGCCCCTCACCAGCATCAAGGAACCTTCCTTGAGGGGCTGAACGAGTTAAACAGTAAAATATTTAAACTCATCTGAGACCAAGTGGGATCAATTAAAGCTTAAGCCTGTAATGTTAATGAGCTCAATTCTCCATGTCACTCAATTGTTTCTTTTCTGAATAAAGATCTTAAATTTGCACCAAGCAATGGCTCATACGTCCCAGACAATTGCCAACCACTGTTAATGTTTGATGCACAAATTCCTGCACCTTGCAAGTCTTTACCATTCCAGAAAGAAAAAACAGCACAATACCTCAACTTGAACAATACATAAATAACTTGCACATCAGAAAATGAAGCTCACGATGTTTGTCATCACAGGTTTCATTCACCTATGTGCAAGTTGTGTATAATATTCCAATCCAGCCTCAGCCATTAAGTCAAAAACTTTAATCTTACAAGCAAAACAGAGCATAGCCTCCTTATTTAAACTTTTACCCTTAAACTGTCCAAACGTAGATCTATGTCCAATTTTACATGCTTTCAAGTGGAGAAAATAAAGGTCGGAGCGCTACGCACATCAATGTAGATCTACGTTTGGAAGGTTTAAGGATTAATTAGGTTAAAATTATTTTACCTTCCATAATTTTAGAAACTTTAAAACTTACAACACACAAAATTAAAGAGTATTGTTTATAAATATTCCAATCCAGCCTAAACTAGTAAAATTGTTAATCTTAGAGCAAAATTAAGACCATAGTCAACCTACTTATAGGCAGAAGATGGATTTAGTGGGGGTTATTTATTAGCATAGGAGGACTATTGCAGCAGGCCTACTGACCCATGATAAGCCTGTCCAAAGTCACCTTCTGGCCAAAGCAGTCAGATCACATCCTCTTAAGGGAGCGAAGTCATTTGCTGCCCTCTACAGTCTGTTTGCTAACCAGTTCATTGTCTATTTGTAACCATGGTGAATAATGACAAACATATCCCTGAAGTACCCTGGTAATATCTGCAGTTTTTAACCTGTGCTGCAACCAGTTTCCCACACATACCCATACTTCTATCTTCAAACAGTTTGAAGTCCTAGACAAGTCAGCAATGGCCCCCCTCAATTTGAGTTAGGTAATGCTACCACTCCTGCCCCACAGAGGTGTACCCCATCCATTGCATACATGTCATGTTTGCCACAAATTGTCCCAGTTAATGAATGCAACTGCAAGTTCCTTGCAGTACCTGTCTAGCCAGCAATTTACACCAATTGCCCCACACATCCTTTATTGCCCAATCCTAGGCAAAACCTTCCTGCAGTGCTCTTAGTGTCTTCTTCAGAATGAATTCAACGACCTATTTTAGTGTCACTGGCAAACTTGCTCGTGTTGCTATTTAATCCCTCTTTTTTTGTGTAAACTGAACAAGGGGCCCAACACTGACCCCTGTGGAACACCACTTGGGGTGCATCCCCATTCTGATTTCTCCCCATCTATGCAAACGTTGTTGCCTGTTAACCACACCCCTATAAAGGGAAACTTTCTATTCAGTGTGCCTTAATTTTCCCCAATGAGGAACTATCAAAAGCCTTACTGAAGTCTATATACACTACCATGATCTACCTCAAAACCTTAGTGAAGAAATGAAGCAGTTTTTTAATTAATAAGTGCTAAACCCATAGGGGTCAAGTAGCACCCTGAGAAATGACAGGTGTGTTTGATCCAAGGAAGCAGATAACTGGTTCAGTGCCTTGGATCAAGAGCCATTCACAGTGCCAAAAAAATACAGGAAGCACTAAAGCTAACAGGAGTCTTGAAGTATGAAGTTTAAGGGGAATAGGGAGGAAGGAAATAGCTCAAATTCTTTGAATCAAGAGCACTTCAGTAGCAGCAAGCTCCCCCAACCCTAAGTTGGGAAGACTAAACCCACAGGGACCATAATTCCATCCAGGGAATGGTAGGTTAAGTCCAGCCTGAGATCAAAAGCCCCTTACTACCCCCCCCCCACTAAATGAATTGTCAGTAATTACACGGTTAAACCCCTCCCCTAATAAATGATATCTGGAGTCAACAGCTACACAGTTAACTCCCCTACCCTGCTAAAACATTGCATCAGCAACTATGCATTCACCCCCCCCCTCCCCAGCTAAAACCATGCGTCCCCCCACTAAAAACCTTGCGTCAGCAGCTACGCAACCTTCCCCCTTAAGTACCCTAATTACAAACAACAATTACCATTATTTCAACGAATTTGACTTGCTTTACAAACTTCTTAAATGAGGTGACACACTCGCCGCCATTTTGTGACGCAACATATGTCTATCTAAATCTGAAACTTGCCTATTAGTGCCCGAGTACAAACTGCTAATAAATAACTAGTGTTGGCTTAGACTCGGGCTCAATACGAGGCTAATTATATAACCGCCGTGAAGACTAGGTAACGAAGTAGAGATGAAGGACGCAAGAGGGAGAGATGAAGGACGCAAGAGGGAGAGAGGGGGTCTGATGTGGGGCTCCATCCTTAGGTGGATGTGACCTGGACCTGACTGCTGCGGCCAGTAGCTTGGGTGGACCTGCCTAGCATGGGCCTGCTGCAGTGCTGGGAGGGAGGGAGATGAAGCATGCCAGAGGACGGGGGAGATGAAGCATGCCAGAGGACGGGGGAGATGGAGCATGCCAGAGGACGGGGGAGATGGAGCATGCCAGAGGACGGGGGAGATGGAGCATGCCAGAGGACGGGGGAGATGGAGCATGCCAGAGGACGGGGGAATGGAGCATGCCAGAGGACGGGGGAGATGAAGCATGCCAGAGGAGGGGGGAGATGGGCATGCCAGAGGACGGGGAGATGGAGCATGCCAGAGGGAACGGGGAAAATGGAAACAATGCCAGAGGGCGGGGAGATGAAAAATGCCAGAGGGGGGAGATGAGCAATGCCAGAGGGGGGAGAGGAGTAAACAATGCCAGTAGGGGGAGGATGGAGCAAGCCAGAGGGGGGAGATGGACATGCCAGAGGGGGAGAGAAAACAAGCCAGAGGGGGAGAGATGAAACAAGCCAGAGGGGGGAGAGATGAAACAAGCCAGAGGGGGGAGAGATAAACAAGCCAGAGGGGGGAGAGATGAAACAAGCCAGAGGGGGAGAGATGAAACAAGCCAGAGGGGGGAGAGATGAAACAAGCCAGAGGGGGGAGGATGAAACAAGCCAGAGGGGGGAGAGATAAACAAGCCAGAGGGGGGAGAGATGAAACAAGCCAGAGGGGGGAGAGATGAAACAAGCCAGAGGGGGGAGAGATGAAACAAGCCAGAGGGGGGAGAGATGAAAACAAGCCAGAGGGGGAGAGAATGAAACAAGCCAGAGGGGGAGAGATGAAACAAGCCAGAGGGGGAGAGATGAAACAAGCCAGAGGGGGAGAGATGAAACAAGCCAGAGGGGGGAGAGATGAAACAAGCCAGAGGGGGAGAGATGAAACAAGCCAGAGGGGGGAGAGATGAAACAAGCCAGAGGGGGAGAGATGAAAACAAGCCAGAGGGGGGAGAGATGAAACAAGCCAGAGGGGGGAGAGATGAAACAAGCCAGAGGGGGGAGAGATAAACTACCAGAGGGGGGAGAGATGAAACTAGCCAGAGGGGGGAGAGATGAAACAAGCCAGAGGGGGAGAGATGAAACAAGCCAGAGGGGGAGAGATGAAACTAGCCAGATTGGGGAGAGATGAAACTAGCCAGAGGGGAGAAGATGAAACTAGCCAGAGGGGGGAGAGATGAAGCAAGCCAGAGGGGGGAGAGATGAAGCAAGCCAAGAGGGGGAGAGATGAACAAGCCAGAGGGGGGGAGATGAAGCAAGCCAGAGGGGGGAGATGAACTACGATGGGGAGAGAGAAACAAGCCAGAGGGGAGAGATGAACAAGCCAGATGGGGGAGAGATGAAACTAGCCAGAGGGGGAGAGATGAAACTAAGCCAGAGGGGGGAGAATGAAGCAAGCCAGAGGGGGGAGAGATGAAGCAAGCCAGAGGGGGGAGATGAAGCAACCAGAGGGGGAGAGATGAAGCAAGCCAGAGGGGGGAGATGAAGCAAGCCAGAGGGGGAGAGATGAAGCAAGCCAGAGGGGGGGAGATGAAGCAACCAGAGGGGGGAGAGATGAAGCAAGCCAGAGGGGGGAGAGATGAAGCAAGCCAGAGGGGGGAGAATGAAGCAAGCCAGAGGGGGGAGATGAAGCAAGCCAGAGGGGGGGAGATGAAGCAAGCCAGAGGGGGGAGATGAAGCAAGCCAGAGGGGGGGGAGATGAAGCAAGCCAGGGGGGGGAGATGAAGCAAGCCAGGGGGGGGAGATGAAGCAAGCCAGAGGGGGGAGATATGAAGCCAGAGAGGGGGAGATATGAAGCAAGCCAGAGGGGGGGAGATATGAAGCCAGAGAGGGGGAGATATGAAGCAAGCCAGAGGGGGGGAGATATGAAGCAAGCCAGAGATGAAGCAAGCTAGTCGGGGTGAGATAAAGGAAGCAATAGAAGGCAGAAAAGGATGAAGTAAGCGACAGACGAGTGAAGCAAGAGGCGCGATGAAGGAATTCATTAATATAAGTGTGGCTTGGGATGGTCGGCCATGACACCTCCACACCGGCCCACCAACTTATATTCCCTCGTAACTCACTAAACACAAACTACTCCACCATAACCACGGCGGATGAACGATTGTGGAAAAGATAAAGATGGAGGAAGCATAAAGAGACAAACAAGGAAGAACTGTAATAATGACTAATAATAAGTGGTGAGGAGGTTGCCTCCGCCATCACGCGCCGCCGCTGCCACATATTTCCTCATAAATCACCACCAACATGTAATACACCACCACAACCACGCTACAAACACGACGGTGGCGGGAATAAACATGGAAGAAGCATAAACAAAGATAAGAGGAAAAAGTCATGTAATAATGTGAATTATAGCCCCGGTGGCGTCTCCTCCATGACACCTTCACCACCACCACCCCATTCCCTCGTAATCACCACCAACATAACACACCACCACAACCACACTACAAACACAACACACAAGAAAATAAACATAGCTGAATCATATAAATATACCTAAATAACAAGAACAAGACATAAGTACAACCCCCGGGTGGCGCCTCCGCCATGACACTCACCGGCCACCACCACCACATATTACCTCACATATCTCCCCACCACCCACACATACCACCACCCACACCATCACATACAACCCACCAACAACTTAACTAACCTCCTTCACCATCTTGGAGCGGTCCGAGTAGTTCTGGCGTGAGGAAAACAGAATTCTAAGTGTGGAGAACCAAGTGTGAGAGAAGCTTGCTGGTGGCGGCTGCTGGCGGGTCTGGACCCGTAGCTCACCACACTACACCTATATCACCGATTTATACTTTATTACTCTTTTTTGAGATGGTTTTGGAGTGTCTTTGGGGGTATTTTTGACCGGGAAGTTCTCTGGTGTGGGTATTTTGTCTCAATAAATGCGATTTGTGGGGTTTTGAAGGGTGAAGTGTGTGGGGTCGGAAGTGACGTCAGGACGCCTCCCCGGCGGCGCTAAATTTTAAAATTGGGTTTTCCTTAATATTGATGAATTATGCCCATGGCGGTATATATGTTGCTTTATTTTGTTGATGTTTCGACATCCAGTGACTTCATCAATATTATACATAAAACATCAACTGTATATAATACATACATCAAACATTAAGTGTATATAACACCGGCAAGTTGATATATTGTCTATACATGTCTTGTAAAATGATCTATGTATTATGATCTATGTATAATGATCTATGTATGATCTATGTATAGATCTATGTATGATGATCTATGTATGATGATCTATGTAAAATTATCTATGTATGATGATCTATGTATTATGATCTATGTATGATGATCTATGGAAATATAAACACATATGCAGTATAATGTGATCCTTTATTGACTACGTTTCGCCCACACAGTGGGCTTTTTCAAGTCACAAACAGAACTTTGTACATGAATGGTTCAGAGAACCGACATGTTGATAAATTAGACACATGTGCAGCTCTTGGGTATCTTTATTGAGGAAACGTTTCGCCACACAGTGGCTTCATCAGTCCATACAAATTGACATTAAAGGTATAAAATACCGACAGGTTGTTAGGTAAGACACATATGCAACAGTTAGGTATCTTTATTGTGAAACGTTTCGCCTACACAGTAGGCTTCTTCAGTCAAGTACAGAAAAGTTGATAGAAGCAGAAGATACTTGAAGACGATGTAATCAGTCCACCTTCACCTTAAAGTTTTGAGGTGGTCAGTCCTCATCTGGAGAAGAGCATTGTTCCATAGTATGAAACATTGTTTCATACTATGGAACAATGCTCTCTCCAGACTGAGGGACTGACACCTCAAACTTAAGGGTGGATGGACTGATTACATCGTCTTCAAGTATCTTCTGCTTCTATCAACTTTTCTGTACTTGACTGAAGAAGCCTACTGTGTAGGCGAAACGTTCACAATAAAGATACCTAACTGTTGCATATGTGTCTTACCTAAACAGTCCATACAAAGGAGAATGTTGAAGAACAGGAGGAGAATGAGGTAATCAGTCCCTCAACCTTGAGTCGATGTGGTCAGCCCATCATTCAAGATTTATGGACTGACCACATCGACTCAAGGTTGAGGGACTGATTACCTCATTCTCCTCCTGTTCTTCAAGATTCTCCTTTGTATGGACTGATGAAGCCACTGTGTGGCGAAACGTTTCCTCAATAAAGATACCCAAGAGTTGCACATGTGTCTAATTTATCAACAAACAGAACTACCTGGGGTGGAAGGAACGCGAGTATTTATAAATACTCGCGTTCCTTCCACCACAGGTAGTTCTGTTTGTGACTTGAAAAAGCCCACTGTGTGGGCGAAACGTAGTCAATAAAGGATCACATTATACTGCATATGTGTTTATATTTCCATTGTGTCGGTATTTTATACCATTTATTTCCATGATGATCTATTTATTATGATCTATATATAATGATCTATGTAAGCGTATGATGATCTATATAAGTGTATGATCTATATTAAGTGTATGATGATGTATGTAAGTGTATGATGATGTATGTAAGTGTATGATGATGTATGTAAGTGTATGATGATGTATGTAAGTGTATGATGATGTAAGTGTATGATGATGTATGTAAGTGTATGATGATGTATGTAAGTGTATGATGATGTATGTAAGTGTATGTATACCAGAGCAAAGTCTCTGATGGCTGGGTGTTACACTCGCCTCGTGTGTCAGGTAACATAACACAAGTGCAACTGTGACATTTTATTATTGCAACGTTTCGCTCTCCAGCAGCTTTATCAAGCTGTCACAGCTTTATCAAGCACAGTACTCGCTCCCATCTTGTTTCTCATCCTCATATCTGACATAGACAAGGATGTCAGCCACAGCACCGTGTCTTCCTTTACAGATGACACCCGAATCTGCATGACAGTGTCTTCCATTGCAGACACTGCAAGGCTCCAGGCAGACACTGCAAGGCTCCAGCAGACATTGCAGACACTGCAAGGCTCCAGGCAGACATTGCAGACACTGCAAGACTCCAGGCAGACATTGCAGACACTGCAAGGCTCCAGGCGGACATCAACCAAATCTTTCAGTGGGCTGCAGAAAACAATATGAAGTTCAACGATGAGAAATTTCAATTACTCAGATATGGTAAACACGAGGAAATTAAATCTTCATCAGAGTACAAAACAAATTCTGGCCACAAAATAGAGCGAAACACCAACGTCAAAGACCTGGGAGTGATCATGTCGGAGGATCTCACCTTCAAGGACCATAACATTGTATCAATCGCATCTGCTAGAAAAATGACAGGATGGATAATGAGAACCTTCAAAACTAGGGAGGCCAAGCCCATGATGACACTCTTCGGGTCACTTGTTCTATCTAGGCTGGAATATTGCTGCACACTAACACCACCTTTCAAAGGAGGTGAAATTGCCGACCTAGAAAATGTACAGAGAACTTTCACGGCGCGCATAACGGAGATAAAACACCTCAATTACTGGAGCGCTTGAGGTTCCTAAACCTGTATTCCCTGGAACGCAGGAGGGAGAGATACATGATTATATACACCTGGAAAATCCTAGAGGGACTAGTACCGAACTTGCACACGAAAATCACTCACTACGAAAGCAAAAGACTTGGCAGACGATGCAACATCCCCCCAATGAAAAGCAGGGGTGTCACTAGCACGTTAAGAGACCATACAATAAGTGTCAGGGGCCCGAGACTGTTCAACTGCCTCCCAGCATACATAAGGGGGATTACCAACAGACCCCTGGCAGTCTTCAAGCTGGCACTGGACAAGCACCTAAAGTCAGTGCCTGACCAGCCGGGCTGTGGCTCGTACGTTGGTTTGCGTGCAGCCAGCAGCAACAGCCTGGTTGATCAGGCTCTGATCCACCAGGAGGCCTGGTCACAGACCGGGCCGCGGGGGCGTTGACCCCCGGAACTCTCTCCAGGTACACAGTTTTATCAAGCTATCACAGCTTATTTAGCTATCACAGCTTTATCAAGCTGTCACAGGTTTATCAAGCTGTCACAGTTTTATCAAGCTGTCACAGCTTTATCAAGCTCCTGGAGAGCGAAACGTTGCCATAATAAAATATCACATTAGTTGCATTTGTACTTTTACTTAAGAAATTGTCTGTATTTATACCAATATTAATAGAACACTGCCTGGCATGGGCCAGTAGGCATCCTGCAGTGCTCCTTCCTATGTTTACATGACAAGAGGTTATCTTCAGTAAGTTTATTTAGATAAAGCTACACATAATTACAATTATTATACGTAGTTTAACATAGGTATAAATTACCCGCCGGGATAAGTCTTATTACCACTGGAAGATACCTGGTAAAGAAGGAAGGAACACTGCAGAAGGCCTACTGGCTCATCCAAGGCAGGAAATGGTATAAAATACCGATACTTAAAATGGTGACATGTGAAACAGTTATTTATCTTTACTGGCGAAACGTTCCGCCTACACAGTAGGCTTCTTCAGTCCAATACAGAGAGAGAAGGTGTGGTGAAATAAAGATGTCATCAGTGATTATATCATAGCTTACTGTGTAGTTCATCAGTCTTGAAGACGTAGTTTGGAGGTAGTCAGTCCCTCAGTCTTGAAGACGTAGTTTGGAGGTAGTCAGTCCCTCAGTCTTGAAGACGTAGTTTGGAGGTAGTCAGTCCCTCAGTCTTGAAGACGTAGTTTGGAGGTAGTCAGTCCCTCAGTCTTGAAGACGTAGTTTGGAGGTGGTCAGTCCCTCAGTCTTGAAGACGTAGTTTGGAGGTAGTCAGTCCCTCAGTCTTGAAGACGTAGTTTGGAGGTGGTCAGTCCCTCAGTCTTGAAGACGTAGTTTGGAGGTAGTCAGTCCCTCAGTCTTGAAGACGTAGTTTGGAGGTGGTCAGTCCCTCAGTCTTGAAGACGTAGTTTGGAGGTAGTCAGTCCCTCAGTCTTGAAGACGTAGTTTGGAGGCAGTCAGTCCCTCAGTCTTGAAGACGTAGTTTGGAGGTAGTCAGTCCCTCAGTCTTGACGTAGTTTGGAGGTAGTCAGTCCCTCAGTCTTGACGTAGTTTGGAGGTAGTCAGTCCCTCAGTCTTGACGTAGTTTGGAGGTAGTCAGTCCCTCAGTCTTGACGTAGTTTGGAGGTAGTCAGTCCCTCAGTCTTGACGTAGTTTGGAGGTAGTCAGTCCCTCAGTCTTGAAGACGTAGTTTGGAGGTAGTCAGTCCCTCAGTCTTGAAGACGTAGTTTGGAGGTAGTCAGTCCCTCAGTCTTGAAGACGTAGTTTGGAGGTGGTCAGTCCCTCAGTCTTGAAGACGTAGTTTGGAGGTAGTCAGTCCCTCAGTCTTGAAGACGAAGTTTGGAGGTGGTCAGTCCCTCAGTCTTGAAGACGTAGTTTGGAGGTGGTCAGTCCCTCAGTCTTGAAGAAGTAGTTTGGAGGTAGTCAGTCCCTCAGTCTTGAAGACGTAGTTTGGAGGTAGTCAGTCCCTCAGTCTTGAAGACGTAGTTTGGAAGTAGTCAGTCCCTCAGTCTTGAAGACGTAGTTTGGAGGTAGTCAGTCCCTCAGTCTTGAAGACGTAGTTTTGGAGGTGGTCATTTCCCTCAGTCTTGAAGACGTAGTTTGGAGGTGGTCAGTCCCTCAGTCTTGAAGACGTAGTTTGGAGGTGGTCAGTCCCTCAGTCTTGAAGACGTAGTTTGGGGGTGGTCAGTCCCTCAGTCTTGAAGACGTAGTTTGGAGGTGGTCAGTCCCTCAGTCTTGAAGACGTAGTTTGGAGGTGGCAGTCCCTCAGTCTTGAAGACGTAGTTTGGAGGTGGTCAGTCCCTCAGTCTTGAAG